CCAGCGAATGCTGGCTGGGGAATTCTGAGAGTTGAAGTCCGGACATCTTCAAGTTGCCAAGGTTGAGAAACACTGCTTTAGGACTAGGGCTGGGGAGAGGGTTAATCCCCCAATGCAAAATCCCCTCCCCTTCTTAATGGGGCAGCTAGAAGTTGGCTTTTTATACCTAGCTTCATTCTGTCCATCCCCAAGATCTCAACAATGAAGGAAAATCAATTGCACCATATAATTAACACAATGATTACCAATTTGAGACACTGAAATATTTATCCCGAGATGTTGGCTCAGGGAAAAAAAAAACATATTGCCTGAAGAAGCTACCTGAGTGGTCTTCATAAATTCCTAGCTGCATTTTCTACCCTCATCCATGTTTATACAACAAAATATATAGAAATAAATGGCATATTTATGAAAAATTGAGACCTACAAGTGTTTATTTTCCTCCCCATCCATTTTCCTTTATGAAAACTATGATATGAAACAGTGATATCCCGGTGAAGCCATATGGCTCATTTCCCCTTCAAGGAACTCTTTTAGTCCTGATATTCAAACTACTGCCGCATAACGTTGGCTGTGAAAACTTGTAATGAAGTTATCCAAATGGATTCAATACTTTGGTCCTCAACTCACACCAACTAAATTATGGTGTGGCTTTTTTATATCCTAACAGGTAGAGCTATGGTATAAGGAAGCAGAAACTCCAATTAACAGCTCTTACCATCAGAAACTAATCCAAATATCCAACCTAGGTTTTCATTTCAACCTGCTGGTTCTTATCCTTCTTTCAGTTTTAATAGAAAACCTGACACCACTCTTGCACACGGCTAACTCTCGTGTATGTGTAAATCACAAGATTTCTCTTTTGCCAGCTGAATGTATTCAGCTCCTTTAAATGTTGGTCCTAGGAGCTTCTTTCCAGAACTCTCATCAGCTTTAGTCTCTTTTTTGAACCTGCTCCACCTTTTCCATGATCTTTTAAAAGTACAATGCTTAGAACGGAATATAACAAACCAACCGTAATCTTACCAGTGCAATGAAACTATTTCCGATTGTCTGCATTAATGTATTTCGAGATTACATTGGCCTTTCATTATAACAATTAACAAACTACAGCTTCAATGACGTGCCAACCTACTCTGTGTTTATTTTTTCTGATAGACGATATAAAATGGACCACAAGAACGTTTGGGAAGGAGAGAAGTTGATGCTTCTTTTGACCATCTTCCTAATTCATCTCCTAAAATGAGATACTGCAACGAATCCCGCTACAGAATGTTCTTACCTGGCTAGTTATCTTGCTAAAAGCATCTTGCAGTTTGCCATGCAGAACTGCCAACTTCCTGAAGTCCCGGCTGGCTTCGTGGATGGGAATGAGGATCTTATAGGTTTCATTGACAGCCTCATAAAGTCCACCCTGGGAAGAATGAAGCAAGAATTCAGAGGGCCTGGAACTTCTCACCAGGACAGCTCTGATAACTAAGCAGCAAGGTGTGCTAATAGAGGAAATGAGGGACAACTGGTATGTAGTAGCAGTCAGTGTTTGAACTACCCCACGGAAATTGTGAATGTTGTGGTTTTGTTTTTAAAGTGTTGTCTTTGTCTAGTTTTCCCCCTTTCCCTTG